AGGTCTCCCTTTCACGTATTCAACTTGTTCAGAATGCTGCAGCTCGACTTATAACAGGAACTCGTAGGTTTGAGCATGTGTCACCGGTCTTATCCTCCCTTCACTGGCTCCCAGTGCGCTATTGAATAGATTTTAAAATTCTCCTTCTCACTTATAAATGCCAACCTGGCCTTGCACCCTCGTATCTTGCTGATCTACTTCAACCATACAGTCCTTCTCGGGCACTAAGATCTTCTGATCAGCTGCTTTTGGTCATTCCTAAAACCAGGCTGAAACTGAGGGGAGATCGAGCTTTTTCAGTCGTTTCTCCCAAGCTTTGGAACAATTTACCCCCCCCACCCCCAGTGTTAGACAGGCCTCGACACTTCCTGTTTTCAAATCTCTATTAAAAACACACCTGTTTTCTCAGATTTTTGATTAATTGTGGGTTATGTATTTGTTGTTGGTGTTCTTTGTTTTTTATATTGATTTTTGCCTTGTGTTCAGCACTTTGGTGACAACTTGTTGTTTTTAAATGTGCTTTATAAATACACTTGATGAACCTGGCTTAGTGTAACCAGTTTGGTTCAGTAAACTCAATAGTTTAATAATTAGCGAGTGTGTTAAAGTACTTTTACTTTCCCAATTTTTGTGAACAGTTTTATGACTTTTACTTGAGTAGTTTTCTCATCAGTGAAATTTATTTKTACCAAAGCCATTTTTTGTTCATGTAATTTTACTTTTACTTAGTTTTTTTTTTTCTAGTACTTTATAGACCTCTGATGACAGGCACTCTTCAAACTGCTGGCGTCGGTTGTAACGTGCCAAAAGCCAGGGGAACTGGACTTCCTGTCTTGATTTGAAAATTGTGAAAAGCAGATCAGATTGAATAAAATGATATATGGGATCTAAAATTTAAAAAAAGAAGTGCCATTTGATATATTTTAGTGAGGCCCATGGATCCAAACTACCTGGCAGAGCCCATATTTGTGCTGATTATCTGTTCTCTCCAGCACTGCCAGTTTCAGTACAGCAGATGACAAACCTCAGCCACGCTTTTATGTATAAACTATCTCCAATATTTCTCTTAAATGTATACAAAACATCACCTCTCTTCCTGCTCACTTTCATGTTTGAGTCGAAACTGACAAGAAGCTCATTAATTTGTTTAAATATCTTAAAATACAATATAGGAGCCAGGAACTAATCATCTCCTATCGCTAATTAAAGTAAAATATGCACCTCCCTTTCGAAGTGTATTTTTGGACTTCTGTGCATGAAAAGAAAACTTGAATCTTTCTCAGCTATTCAAAGCGTTTAATGAATGCAGAGCTCTTGTGTTATTTCTCAGCTGATAGAAGACTGAATGTGTTAGATTAGATTCGTTAACATTTGCGTTAACRTACCAGCGGTCGACCCAGAAGCTCCGAGCGGGCCCGTGAAGCGGAGTCCTTCTTCATGTACTCGACAAACCCATACCCTTTGGAGTGGCCGCTCAGCTCGCTGTACACCAGGAAGTAGCGCTCGATGTTTCCGTACAGGCGCACCAGCTCCTCGAACTGCTGCGCGGTGAAGGTGTGCGGCAGGTTGGTGAGRCAAAGCAGGGAGTCGGTCGGCTGAAGGGTGACGTTGATCAGGCGTCCTCGGACAGTGCTGTGGTGGAGGGAGCGGATGGCATCCTGAGCCTGGTCCCCGTTCAGCAAAGTCACAAAAGCTGGAGGTGGGTGGAGGGGGGGACAATATGGAGACAGCGACAAGGGGACAGGAGCCAACACACACCAAAAGAAAAAAAAAAAGATGCACAGACCCAAGTGGGAACAAAGATAAACAAAAACATACATTTAAAGCACACAGAGAGAGCAACAAGGAGGCGTGACGTAAAAAAAAAGCACATGGAAAACAAAAAGTCAATGACGAGCCAAATGTGGCAAAAAGAGAAAACAAATAGGCACAAAAACAGACAAACAGTCATAAAAACAAACAGAGATACACAGAGAGAAAGACAACACATTAGCTAGAAAGCCAGTAGGGATCTATGGGGGAATCCACTGTGACAGACACAAACACCTTACTGACTCTTTAACCTTATAAATCAGTGACAGTAAGAAAAACAACAGTACAGATAAAATTACAGTTAACATCAACTAGTAATTTAATTACAACACATTATAGTTGAGTTTAAAACTCAATCTTAGTGTAAAAAGGTAAAATTATGTCTTCTGAATAAGAAATTTTAATCTAATATCACCTCTCTAGCAAATATTGAAACGTCCTGYGGTTGAGTTTTACAAAGTGAGTTTTCATTGGTTCTTGCAGGGTCAGTGTAGTTTTTGGTAGTTGGATTTTCCTTTTAGAAACGGGTATTAAAAAACAGGAAACAAGTGGCATTTGATTTTGGTTTTAAAATACAGAAGTTATTACAAGAAAGTATTTCCCTTTCTTAGTGTCAAATAGGGATGAGTAAAATTTTAAAATGAGTTGTGTTTCATTGTCCGTTTCGGATGACAAAAAAAAAAAAAAACTTTAAAGGATCCCTGATTAGTTGTAACATTAAACTTTATTTGATAGACATACACTCACCGGCCACTTTATTAGGTACACCTGTCCAACTGCTCGTTAACACTTAATTTCTAATCA